AGCCCAAAGTTTTACTTATATAAGAACTTTAAATAAATTAAACTTGAGAGTAATATATAAACAAAGGAAGTTGGACTTTGAGTGCTATTATTCAAGAAAAGTTTTTTAAATGACATTTTGTCAATGTAAATATGTTGTAAATATTATTGCTTCCATTGACCTGAATGAGCACTTTTCTCATTTAAACCAAACTGAAAATATTACAATACCTTTATAATAACAGTTTAGTGAAACATAATTTTAACTGTTCATTAACACTGAAGGTATGATCTTAAGGTCCTTTCCAACCCTAACTATTCAATGATTCTATAATTCAGGTATCTATATATTGTAAGTGCAAAAATGTATCTGAATCATTCCGTACTTTTTTTTCATGTTAAATTATTTTTAAGATTAATTACTATCACATCTGAATAAATATGTGTAATATTACTGAATAGAGAATGTATAGAACTATATAAGGATCAAATATGCAATTAGTCTACTCTGCTATTAAATATTGTTAAAAAAAAAAATACAAAGTTCCTGTCATTCACCACTACTAACTTTGAATTTGTTTTTCCTTTCTCCCTTCCTTCTATTTTTTCTGTATGTGCACATGTTTTGGAGACTGAAAAATTGTTTAGATACCATATTAATCCATTGGATGCATATAGGCTTCTCTTACTGTGGACTAAGATTTTTCTTTTCTTTTGCCCTTTTACAGCATATATGAAAAAGATGTTACAATACATCTCATTTGCTATATAATAAGTGTTAGTTGCAATGATATAGTTCTGTTTTGAAACAGTTTCAAATTTAGAGAAAGCATTACATTCATGAGGGCAGTCAGAATCAAAATGCTTTATTGGTCCAATCTGTTTCTATATGGCTTCATTGGCCATGTATACTTTCTCCCAGCACACCCTGTCATGGTGCAAGTCTCTTCTTTAAGTAGCTCTGTGTCACTGCTGAATGCTATAGCTGTTCACTCAGCTCTAATCATTGAATTTGTGCCAAAAAAAAAACTTGAAATTTTTATGAAGCTTATGAAAAGTTTGCCCTTTGGAAATGTTTGGGGGTTCAGATTGTGTGGTTGGGTTTGCAGGTTTTCTGCTTTCCAACACCCTGCACACCCACACCCTGCTTAACAGGAGATCACCTTATTGCTGCTTCTGACATTTACACAAGATTAGCATTTGTCAGTCTGCAGGGGGCAATCAATTCTCCTACACCGGTAAATGAGAAAGAGCATTTTATTCCAGAAAACTAGCTACATTCTTCTGAATGATAAATTTATCAGCTTGCTTACATTTCTGCTGAAATTAAGAAAAAAAAGGAGTAGCTTGATTTGAATACATATATGAAAACTTTCTCACTATTTGAAAGCACTGTGCAGTAGCAATTATTAGAAATTAAACTCTCCAAATGAGTAGTAAAGATGATTGAAAAGATCACATGGTGTTTGACAGACACTGACCATTTAGGAGGAAAACTGCCCTAATTCTGTAATGCAAAAACCAGACAGTGGCTCTGTGAAATTTTAGCGTACCAATGAATAACATTTAACAGGAAAAAAAGAGGCAATTCAAACAGGAATTAAAAATGGCCTTAGAGTAAAAATAGGTGATACAACTAGATATTATTAAAACCTCCAAATTTAGATTTTAGTGTGTTACTAAATTCTAATGGTAAGATTATCATATGCTTGCATTAGCAAACATTTATTTATTCACAGACAAGAAAAGAATACTGTCCTGGGTTCAGCAGTAGCAGTCATTTTTCTCCTTCTTAGTAGCTGGTGCAGTGCTGTGGTTTTGACTTTCTGCCTGGGAACAGTGCTGATAACACTGATGTTTTTAATTGTTGCTAAATAATGTTTAGTCTGACCAAGGACTTTGTGAGTCTCATGCTCTGCCAGGGAGGGGGGGAAGCAGGGAGGAAGCAGAGAGAGGACACCTGACCCAAACTAACCAAAGAAGTATTCCATACCAAAGCACATCATGACCAGGATGTAGAACTGGGGGCAGTTACCAAGAAGGGGAGATCACTGCTCTGTCAGGCTGCATATTGGTCAGCGGGTGGTGAGTGGTTGTGTTCTCTTCCCTTGAAAAATTAAGTAATAAATAATTAAAATTATGTTATGGGACAATTCTGAAGTCCAGAAAGATTAGAGTTCATGTTTAATTAATGTTTTAAATAATTCAGGTAAGGCTTTAAACACTACAACCCATATTGCCAACATGAAAATATCTCTACTGTTGTGAAAAACAATAAAATCTGATATCAACTGCAAAATTTAAATCTATTTTATAAATATCACATCATATAAACTTTTATTTCTTTATTTTATTTTGAGGGAATTAGACTGACTGTGAGATTTCACTAGGCAAATTAAATTTAACAATTTGGGTATGTCTTTAAAATGTTCCCCTATTTACAGTTTAGAAACTCCTTTTGCTAAAAGTGATGACTCTATGTAAAAATAGCCCCTTCCATCTTCTGCATTCCCTCCTTAAATCTTTATTAGGATATCTTGGAGGTTCACACCAGGCAACAAGAACAGTGACAGCATAGTACAAGATAGGCTGGCTTGGCACAGTGTCCCTCACATCTAGCAGAGCTTTGCTCTAGAAATGGTGTAAGTTCCATCAGTGGGTTTCAGAGCAGTTATCAGCACTCATTTCTGGCAGATGACATGTGCCATATGAAAGGCTCTTGATAGGTTTCAAGGTATTAAAGGATAAGCACTAGTAGAATCTATCACAGAGGCAGGCTTCCCTATTATCCATAATGACTAATAGAAAAAGAAAAATCTCATTGATGATTACTAAAAAAATTATAAAAATAATTGATGTGAACTTCTTTCCAGAACAGATCTAGAAGAACACCAGAATTCATCCATCATAAGACTGGACATTGCCTTTAGCATAAAGAAACCTGGGGACAATATTTCATGGATAGGCAACATGAAAATCTAAGACATTTCAAAACAGCATTTAAGAATATTTTCCAGGTACAATTCCAAGTCACTTTTTTCGGTAGCTTGTATACATCAAAGTAACAATCATCAACAACTTTTGCTCTGTAGCTAGCGCGAAATGGACAAGCAGCACTCATTATTTGCCTTCCTTTTCTTCATTAATTGATACGAAAAAAGAAGCTGTGAAAAAAAAGAAAAATACTTAAACTGAAGAACAACTCCTGAGGTGGCAGGAAAGGTGATTTCAGTGGACCTGTGCAGTTTGCACAAATCAAAGATCTTTATCTCAGCCTTCTTCAAAATACAGTCAGAAAGCATAATTTTGGACAATTCACCTTTTGGTTAGTTTGATTTGTGTTCTTTTTCCTCTATCATGAGTGGAAACTTCTCAGTAAGAAGTTATTACTTTCTAAGATATTTGCCAGAACCTAGAATTATTATCCTATGTTGGTGTTATTGCCATATTGTCAATGTAATGCAATATATAAATGTTAGACATCAGTAACATCAGTTACATATTTTAATTATTTTTCAGTGAATAGAGTTAGACTGCTGAAGCTTTTTTTCAGATTTTTTTCTTTTTTTTCTCATACGCACATGAGTAGCCTAATGATAAACTGCTGATGATGAAGCTATGACTAGCCAACCCTGTAATAATCTTTGCCTCTCTAAAATGCTTAGTGCTGAGATGATTCTCGTAGCTTTCATTTCCAAAAGCCTGAGGACACATATAATTTATACAAGAGTTCTGCATTTCCAAATTATGCTCTGATTTTTTTCTGCTGACTATTTGACATTCTCTCTTTTGTATTATTATTATAATCATCATCATCTATAATTTAACAGTTCTCTTTTTATAGCGATGTTAAGGTCTTCACAGTCTAAGCAAATGTACTATTGACTATAGTTTATGTCTACAATAATATAAGAATTTATCATTTCAGCAATATTCTTTGCTATTTGTAAGATTTTCTAACCTATCTACTCAGGTTTCATTTTGTTCTGAAGAACAAACAGTACCTTAGCATGAGGATGAATCACAGAAGCAATCTATCTGTCTACCCAAATTTAACACGTAACATCACGAAGGGTTTTATGGCAAAGGACAGGCTGAATCATTTCTGTTCATACTGTATCCCTATGCTGAGCTCACGCCAACAGAAGAAAATTATAAACCTATTAATTCTAGGTAAGACTGTAAGTTTTCATTTCAGCATAGGAAAAAATCTTGTTTCATTTTACCAGCATAACAAGAAACTGTAACTAATAAAATCTACCCAGATTAAGAGGCTAACAGGTGTCAAAGATACTGGGTCCTTCCCACTGCTATAGCAAGACCTGTTTGCTCCTTGGTCTTGCTATAAGGAGACCAAGCCCAATGTCCTCCCTTCCCTCCCCTCATCTCCCTTCCTCCCCCCCACCTTCACCTCCCGTGTTACTCGATTTGCTCTTCTTACTACAGCAGTTTCCTCTACAGCTGGTTGAACAGCTTCTAGGAATAATAAGATATAGGCTGTCATATTCATAATGAGACACTGTATCACTCTCCCTTTTATATGGTTGTTTAATAATGCTTTCAGAATTAGGGTCATCTGACTTAGTTGTGATGAAAATAGTAGTTATTTATTGGGGGTTCACAGTCAAATTTTCAGCTGGCTTTATTCATTATAATAAGGCATCTAATTTAGAAGCTTACTTTTCCTAACATTTTACTCTAGCCATTGGAAAGAGATAAAACATTTCAGACTGTGATTTACCTTCCTTCTATGTTCTTTCCATTTCTTGTTTCTTCCAAGATGTGATTTTTGAACTACTTTTGAGGACGTGATATGAGGATGTGGTTTTACTTGAACATTGGAAATACTGAGTATTAAATATTAGATTCTAAATATATAGATGATTGAATATTATCTACATTTTAATTTTATTACATATTATAACTTCTTCCCTATTGCACTAAACTGTTAGTAATTACTAGAGTCACTCCTGATAAAGTTGATGAGATTTTAAAAGTGTATTTTCATTTCTTGTCTTTCAGTTTCTGGCTTGGACATTCAAATGGTAAGGCATTCTGCTAAGAGAGTTTTCAAGACTTTCTTATAAGCTGGTGTGAGAAGGCTTTGCACTGAAGTTTTCTGTTCCTGCATCTGGTGATACAAATGAAATGTTGTAAGTGATTTTATTATTCTTATATTTTTAATATTTAATATTAGGTAACATAATGGTAGTTTTATCTCTCTGCTGATGTCAAAGATTACATCTTGAGAGTTTCAAATTAGACACTTGGGAAAGAAAAACCCACTAGGAGGGCAATACAACACAGGAATAGGCTACTTAGGTTGTGGAATGCCCTTGGAGATTTTCAAGCCTTGGCTAGACAAGCCACAGCTGGCCTTTTCTACTGTTGGGCACAGCCACATTCTGAGTAGGGACTGTCCAAAGACACCTGTTATGGTTTAAGCCCAGCTGGTAACTCAGAACCATGCAGCTGCTTGCTTACTCTCCCTCCTTCTAGCCCCTGCTCCTGGAGGGATGGGGAGGAGAATCAAAAGAATGTAACTCCCATGAATTGAGATAAGAGCAGCCCAGTAACTAAGGTATAACACAAATCACTGCTGCTACCACCAATAATAATACTGATAAGGAAAATAACAAGGGAAGAGAATACAACCGCTCACCACCCGCCTACCAAGACCCAACCCAACCCAAGCAGTGATCTAGCCCTTCCGGGTGACTGCCCCCAGTTTATATAGTGGGCATGATGTGCTGTGGTATGAAATACCTCTTTGGTTAGTTTGGGTCAGGTGTCCTGTCTCTGCTTCCTCAGGGCTTCCCCTCCTCCCTGGCAGAGCATGATACTCACAAAGGCCTTGGTCAGAGTAAACATTACTGAGCAGCAACTGAAAACATCTGTGTTATCAGCGCTGTTTCCAGGAAGAAAGTCAAAACCACAGCACTGCACCAGCTACTAAGAAGGAGAAAAACAGCTGCTACTGCTGAACCCAGGACAATATCCTTCCCAACCAAAACTTTTGTCATACTGTGATAATGTGTGGCTTAGTAAAACAGAATTTAAAGAGTCAGATATTGTCACAAAGGTTGTAATACCAGGATAGGCATCCTGTGGAATTACAGCCTTTAGCCTTCTTGATTGATTTCCAGGAGCTGCTCCATATCACAACATACCGTGTTAAAAAAGGGCGAGAAAGCTGATCAACCCTCATATGTAAGTGATAGAGAGAATTGCATCACAGACTTCAACCTCTCTATTTTTATGGCTAATTTTGGTCTGATAACAAGTTGTTGCATTGCTTGCTCTGGACTGTCTGCATATTAAATAGTGGTGTCCTTGTGGCCTAAAATAAACAGCACTGCCTAGGCAGGAAAAACAAGGAACTTGATCTAGAAGCTGTTCAGGTTGTCTCAAAATGTCATTTATAGCTTATATAACTGAAATATAAGCTGTATTTTTTTTCTTTGTAAGTTCATTTTTTCCTCTTTGCCACAGGCAAATGTGTTATCCTCGCTATACCTCAGCATAACTGATAGAGTTACTACAGAGCACAGCACAAAACTTCTGCTTTTAGACTTTCAAATCTTACTAAAGCAAACAGATTCACCAACAAAACTATTTAAACTATATGGTCTTCTCAAGTGTCTTTACCCTAATAAATGCTCCTTGATGCATTATTGAGTCATCAGTGAATGTAGGAAAAGAATCTTTTCTTTCTTATAGTCTCTCTAATGTTAATAAATCCATGTTGATAGGTTAAACTGGAAGTAATTCTTATAGGAATCTGCAGCAAATGAAATGGATGTCACTTTATGGAATTATTGCATAAAATTGTTTAGGTAGAGATTAAAAAAATAACAAGGACATTGTTGTTACATCCTACAAATAACATTCATCATAATTTTCTCTTAATGGGAATGATGGCATACTTGCATATACAAATGCCGTATGTGCTGTTCAAATAAAACACTTCCTGCAGGGATCAGTGTTTCAGGTGACAGTATTGAGCAAACTGAATACTGTGGTGTGACATCTCTATTGTAGTTTGCATTTTACCTCCTTTGAGATACAGATAATTTCTGTGCCCTGCTTGCTTAAATGAAAGATACATTTTTCTTCAGGTTTGGGCAGATCAGTGAGAGCCATAAAATATTAACGATGAAAGCCTGGGGAATTAGATGTGTCTAGGACTACAGGTTTATCTTGTTGGCAGAGTTCTCTCAGTCTAACTTATTTCTTTTGTGTGATCTCCATCAGAAATTATATACTGTAAAAAATATTGTCTGTTCAGATTAAAATACATGTGGCTTTTCAGACCAGATAAAGGGCCTGACTTTTTTATTTAATGATTCAAGTTTATCTAATATCTTTATAAATTTTGAAGCACAGTTTTGTGGTTTAAAAGCAGAGCTGTTTTTCAGTATGTCATTTCCTTTTATTTCTCCTGCTGTCACACTACTCTGCCGAATACTGTTCCTCCCATAGAGCTAGAATAATGGAGTGGAAGAACAAAGAAAGAAAATGATCGCTTAACTTGTAATCTTGTGTCACAACAAGGAAAAGATACTTAACCAGCTACTTGCCATAGTGATTAAAATGTGTGCTGCAGGAGAAGCTGTTAAGAGGCATCTGTTTTTTTTACTAGTTCCTGCTACTTGAGTATTGAAAGGGAATGGGAAGTGATCATGCCCTCTTCCTTTCCCAAGGAAGAAAGGAGTTTTATTTTGCTCCAGTGTAAAATGCAGTACCAAGTTTCACAAACACAAGAAGAATCAAGCAGTTTACTATGTCACGTTAGCTTTTGGCATAGTGTGAAATGAAATCAGACATTGCCTAGACTTTCTAATTACCAGTATGCAGTGTGGAGGATGCCTTTCAGTAATGAAACTTTCAATTAATCAAAGTACATTTTCTGTTTCTCTCCATCTTCAACCTATCTTATGGTTTTCCTTAGTTTATTTTTTATCTTCTGCTTTGTGCTGTAGATCTTGCCTTTGAAATAATAAGACCAATTCCCTGATCCACAGCTACACTGTAAAATGACAGAGCAAATCTTCTTAGAATTCTTATAATTCTGAATTATAATATAACTTTAACATGATAGAAAAATTACTTACATGACCCATTTTTCTTGGCTGAAATAACATACACTGATAAAGATGATCTGCTTTTCATTCAACCACAAAGGTTATTCATTTTGGAAATATAGAACTCTTTTTGTAGAGGGACATTATTGTTCCTTATACAGTAGAAATTCATCAAACTGAAAACGTGGCTTGCATGTCATGTGCAGGTTTTCTCTTCATTTACCACAATTTTTCCACTTCTTCATCTGCATTTTTTAGGCAATAATTTTTGTCACTGTATTCTATAAAAATATGGAGGCATTTATAAACAAAGTACAATACAAGTAGGAGGCTTATGAGCCAATCTATGCAAATATGAAAGTCTTGATGATTTTATTAAGTTTTTTAATCACAGAGAATAGAGAATTCAGGTGAAAAACCTTACAATTTTCTATTTTATAAAATAATAAAAAAATAGAAACCATTTAATAAATTTAGTTTTCTTGGACAAATAACAGCATAGAAAATTATTTTTTTTCTCTTTTATCCAATTAGGCAAATATATATCTTTCAACTCAACTACATGGCAGAGATTAAATGCTAAATAGCCACCCTAAATGAGCTGCTAGTTCACCTGATGTTTGATCAATATGTCTACTGAATTAATTGATCATTACTTTGAACATGTGTATTTGCTGTTTTTTTCTTACACTCATGCATACTCTTAGAAAAACCTACAAATGAACTTCTAAAGAGAAAGTGTCCCAGTGGGAAGCAACCCTGACCTACTTCTGAGGGTCACAATATTGAGGGATTTACCAATGTGCAGTATTCAGTGCCTATTTTTTCCACTTAAAAAAAAAATATGTTTAGGCAATTTAAAAATTTTGGCTAAAAAAAAGAGTGGTCAGCTTTAACATGGAGATCATTATTAACAACCTTTATGGGTCACAGTGAGTGACCTGCCTCCCAGTTCATTTTTCAGCAATAGAAAATCCATTTTTTGTCTGATGTCAGGAAGCAGCTGAAATTAGAGTCAACCCTTCAGCTCCTTTTTTGGCAACAAAGTTATTCATTTGTTTGCATTTTTAGAATTACAAAAGAAATAAACTTTCTGCAGTGAAAGATTGATATTATGATACAAAAAAAAAAACAACAGAGTACAGGAAGATTCAAAAAAAAAAAAAAAAAAAGACTTACCTTGCAAATTTTCTTCCCAACCCTGTTTAATTCCATTTTAAATTTTATTTTGTATCTTTAACAATGTCTTCAGGACTCGTACGAACTGTATGAACACTACTGTAAATGTTCATACAATTCCACTTTGTATATATATATTTACTTTAGTTACACTTACACTTTTCCACATTGTTTTCTTATGAATACTTTTTTGACTAAATTTAACAGATCCAGCAGCACTATGCAAAATACGAATTTTATAATTCAAACTGCAGCAAGAAATGTTTAGACACCTATCAACTGAACAAAATTTTGTGAATTTTCTGAGAAATTGTAGCAAACATGAGCATTGTCTTTGAATCATTTTTCCTTTAGTTTACATAACACTACTGCTGAAAGTTCCTTTAAATAGTCACAACAAGACAATTTGGGTTTATATGTTCTTTTCTATGTAAAAATCACAGATTCTAAGAAGCAGTATTCTTCTTCCTGACATACTACGTAAAACACGCTGAGATGTATATATCCATAACCAATGACACATTCATTTTACTGCTTAACTAGGCAATAAAAACCCACAACAGCAATTTAAATAACTTATCATGCTGAATTCAATCATATTTTAGCAATGAGTCTCATTTTTGTGCCTGTTGGTACATGTTCTGTACTTGAACTCTCTCCCACTGTAAAAAAAATTGAGAGTGCAGAAACAGGCATTGGATTAAAACAAAATGGAAGGATCTAACTATTTAAATAATTTACATTTTTACACTTCTTTATAAGTCATTGAACACTGTAAGCCAGTATAAAAAACACAAACTACATTTTCATGTATTTTAACAGAAACACAAAGTGATAAAAAAGCACTATGTAGTATTGAGCTACAAAACCTGAAATATTCATGGGGAAAA